ATAGTCCTAGAAACTTATGTTCGGTTGAGCCATCTCACTACCGAAGTATTCAGATATAAATAGATTTGGAAAGTAAATATAGTTCTATCAATAGAACTAGACCAAATCATATGTTTGGTATTTTACTGGGGCCTTTTAATGGCCTTGTCCAAATATCTGATATGTAAAAGTGAAAAGGTATTAATTAATAAAACCGTTAAAACCCATTTAGGAAACTTAAGTTCCTTGTACTATTAAGAGTACGTTTATGGTTTACGTACTGCTTAAGAGTACGTTTATATCATAGAGTCTAATGTGGAGGCCCGGCTATTACATACTGAGTGTGCCACGTGATTGTATCTAAAACAACTCCAATCACTCGCAGGTGTCTGTGTGAACTCAATTGATATCTTCCGGTCACGTGAGTTTACAAGAATTCTCGCTCGCATACTAAACAGACATGATAAACTCAATCGATGCCACTAGCTACGAGAGTTGACGGACAGCTATTAGGTCACTCGAATGTTGAATAGTACACACACTTTGGTCAACCATCGCAGCAATTTGCCGCAGGGCACATGACTCACTATCAACTGACTTGTAGTTATCTCGACTGGTCGCATCAGATACATTGAATGAAGATGTAACATTATAGCGTTACAAGAGTCAACTCGCACACGGAAACTTACCCCGTGTAATAATGCTACCTTACGCCTATGTAACTCATCTGTAGTTCAACCGATATTTATCGGGCGACGAGAGTTCCTACCGCGTGTGCATATTTATTTTCATTGATCGCTTGCTAGTCAAATGCGCTCTCCCGCAGCTCGTCTCATCAACGGTCGCAGGAACCGAAATACCTATAGCAACTATACACCGTGGGAACTCAAACGACGACTACTGGTTGATCATATCCATAGACAACAAGGAGTCTACACCCGCCTCCTCGTGACATACTATGAATCCAAGCGACTTTTCTCCACCACGAGACTCGACGTGGAGCCAGTGTTTCACAGTCTATAGATATGTGGCATTACAGCGCAGCATATCACTTCACACAATGTTGCATCGCACCTTAGTGCGGCATTGCACCGGAATACAGCACGACACCAATGTGTCGCTTCACAACCATTAATATGTACTGCGGATAGCTCGGCGATAATTGATACACTCTTGTATCACCTACGGATACAGTATGCGGTTCGGCAACATACAGCTAGAACGTGCAACCCCCTTACCCTAATAGGCACGGTGATCTTCCTGGGACAGGTGCTCATATCCTATTCTTGTACATGTATATCTATCCTACTCATCCACATCATCACATAGGTGTACACACATCTGTTTGTTTATTTACCTAAACACACGCACACATGTACATGTATAAGTACGCATACAACTATAGTATATATATATATATATATATATCATCTAAGATATATGCTTGCACATCAACACGTTCATCTACAAGAGCCATTCACCTATGTTTACTTCAACGGACTCGCCTCCTAACGAATCAGATCGCTCCTCACGTCTAGACCTGAAAAATACATACATTCACCCACACCTATATATATAATGTGGGCGTACTTATCCGCATATATATATTTGAATATAACATACTCGACTAGATGTACGCTGGTATGTATACATATATACTCGAGCATGTACATGTATACATATATCCAATGAACACATACACGTATATATTTATATGTACGTGTATATATGTATGGCGTAGATATTCGTTGGTGTTAATTCGCGAGATATGCCGTACGGTGCATTTATAGTGCGCATGGGCGTGTCAGTATCATGCCGCAGCACGTAGAAGCAATGCTATAAACGAGACCTAATAGTCCAATGCCTGTTTTCACGCATATAGATGTGTTTCGTGTCAAGACAAGTCAACTGGAATACCATGTTGTACATATAAACCTTTGTACCCATATAATAAGTATATCTAGCTTCCGCCTTTATACATATTCATGTATAGGTAGATATATTTTAAGTACACAACTATATCGATATATATATATATGTAACAACACGTATATACTAATCTGGCACATCCACCTCTCACTCCCCATATACGCGTACAATGTTATAGGCACCTCTACTAAATATTCATACCTTCACGTACGCCTGGCTATCTATGTAACAGTATCGTCCGACAACTAAAATACATATGTGGATAAAGATGAATACCTATACACGTACCTACTGCACGTACCTCTTGAAGTAACTCTAAATATATTGTTTTACAAGATATATCTATATAAATATATGTATCTACACACACACACACACACACACATATATATATATATATATATATATATATATATATATATATATATATATATATCTCTCTTCTGTGCGAATACGCACTTCACCCCCTTGTCTTTGCTGGTAAATTGTATAAGTAAAAAAAAAGTAATTTATCTTACTTACTTTTGTCGTTCTCACGCTTTGCTGTACTTCCGTGGGAAGTGTTTACCTTTCTTTGTGGTGCAGTAGGTTGTTGCGTTCCTTCCTGTGTTTGAGAAGGTTTAGGTAGTGTTTGTTAGTCAGGCTTATTTAGTCACGTGTGGACTTACTAGTATTTATTTTGTCATATGTGAAAGTATTTTCTCATGTAAGTGATATTAGCTTGATGTTTGGTCCTAGTGATGTTACCAAAGATGTCCGGTCTTATTGACGTCCCCTATGGATGTTCAGTCTTATTGACGTCACCTGTGAATGTTCGGTCCTGTACCGAACTTTCGTGATTGTGATATCACCTGAGATGTCCTATCCTTGTGGTAAACGAACGCTTCAATAACTGTATCGCAACGTTCTCCCTCCGTAGAGAGGGAGACGGTGTTCATTTATTAGTAATTGTAAAATTAGTGACTCTAAAAGTGAGTCATAAGTCATGTGCTGTAAAATATGACGTGAACCTGGCGGTGCTTGTGCCCGACATCCAGCACACGTTGTAGGTAATGTCGGCTGGGGTCGCTGTGCCCAGTTCTGTGACTGTCGTCGAACCGTCTGTGGGTTAGGGCGGCTATTGGTGTAGTCACGAGCCCCATTACTTGGTGGACCTTCGCGATTATTCCGGTTCTGGAGTCGCGCCGCAGTGCGCTGCTGTGCGTTCTGAATGTCGGGACCCAACAACTGTAGAAGCTCGTGAGTCTTGATTAACTACCATTTGGGATGCAATTGTAGAGTGCGTTCATACGTACGGCCGTTGAGAGCTTCCTCCAACAGTTGAACAATGCAGTGGTTTAATAAATTCTGTTGGAAGTCTGCCTCCGTCTGGCATCGTTCACGTGCCCTCCTGTAGTTCTCCATGAGTTGTGTCATTTGTTCCATAATAGGGGTGTGCATGTTGCGGTTGTGGCCCTTGGCAAGCTTACGAAACGTGGGATCAACAGTGGCTTGAGTCTCGTGCGAGCAAATCTGTTCGATTTGTAGTTGTGGCGTCCACATCTTCAATCGTTCAGAGTTGTCACGTATGTAATCTAATGTTAACTTCTCAGCCTTAAAGTAAGATAGTGAAACCATGTAAGGCTCCAACTCTCATCTAACCTTGCGATTTGCGCCTTCTTAAAAACATCCAGTAGAGCCCCCTTCGTGTCCCGTTCCATGATGTTGTGGAGGTGGTATCTATTCGAGGGCCAATCGGGCCATGTACGAGGTGATGGTACCGGACGATTTTCCACTGGACGGGACTCTAGCGTGGGGAGGATTGGAAATGTATGTAAACGTCCTCGAAATAGGTCGGGTATAAATATTTCTCCGTCATAGAGATCATTTCTCATCTCAACAAGTCTCGACACTGTTTGCCCGGAAAGATATATTCCGTACCCTTCACTACGTTCCTTTTCAGAGTGGCACATTAGTACACGAATCCTGCTCATGCCTCCAGCAGACTATGGTGCCGTATATCCTTCGATGAAATACTTGTCGGGTTCACCCTACACTCTTTGGGTGCTACTCCAACCTCCTAGTGTAGTCACATCCTTCTTCGGCGACATACTTTTGCTCCTTAGAGAGCTCCACCTCTCTCGCTTTACTCCCCTTCCTTTGCTAATCTTGCTCCCTTGTGCAGCTGCATGTGCCGTTGCGGTTATCGATATGTAACTGCCTATTGTCGGCCTGTCGTGCCCTACGGACCCCTCTGTTTACATCTAGATCCTGCTTGGTACTTTCTTTCGAGCATCTCTGACACAAAGTTATGCTTAGACAAGTAGTTCCTAGTGCCTCTGTGGATTCTAACTGTGCACTATAATTCTTACCTCGCATCCCCTAGTTTACCAGATATCGTCCTTGTCTATGTACTGTAACTTCTAAGGTGGTTCTTTGATTTACAGTATCGTTCCACGATCCTATTGCTAACCTCTTTGTTCAATATACCTGGGTACCATTTAAATATGTACATACTCTCTACCCCTTCGATCTCTCAATTTCGTCAAGAAGAATCTCTCATACCACGTTAGTAACGTACTATGCTTATGATATCATAGTGTACATCTATAATTGTTTACGCTGACTTATTCTTTATGTCCTTACTTGCTTTCTAACCTTCGTTTTAGTCCCTTTCAGTATCTTCTAACTGGGACACTGCGAACTACCTAACTCTTCCCTTTGTCTATGCCTAGAGTTAGGACGTATTTCTTGTAGTATTATATCTACCTGCCCCATCTACCGTAGGAGCAACATTCCTAATTCTGTTCCCGATTGCTTCTATGCATACAACCCCTTAGATCTTACTCACTATATACACTGGTTCCATTTCTCTAACGCAGTTTCTACTGAGCATCCTCTAACCAAAAATATTTCCAGAATAGGGTTCTAACTCGATATTTAACCCACAATTTCACCCATACTATTTGTTTCTACAACATATAATCACCGAACTATTTTGCACGATTGTTTCTACTTAACTGATCGTCTGGCTGGACCCTCGTCTTGGCCGTTTGGCCCTTCTTGTCCTGCTCATTTCGTTCTTGTACTTCAGATGTCTGTTCCTGATTTGATTACTTCTTGGGTTCGGTCGTGGGCTCCTTGGGTTCGGTCGTAGTGTCGTTGTTTGCCTCCGTTCTTGGAGCCACAGTAAAGTTAGATACCTGTCTAGGAAGCCTGAAACGTTCGAGCTGTCTAGCCATACTGATTCTATTGAGCCTGAAGCGTCCATTGTTCACTTCAGATTCCTTTTGCTGATTCCATCGGTCGTGCTGATCGTTTGGTCTCGGCGTCTCTTCCTCTTCGCTGCCACTACTCGACATCAATGATGGCATTGTGGCACTAGCGTCACTACTTGTGTACCCACTATCGTCTTCTACCGCGGGTAGATTCTGAAAGATTTCGTCATTTTGTCGCGCCATCTTACTTCCGCTACTATAACAATCGGTGTTCTCTTTCTCCGTTCGTCGTATTCCTGTAGAAAAATCTAATAAAATTCATTCAATTATTATAAGGTAGCTTATTTCCTAATTACTAATAAACTCACAACTTCCGTGGTAAACGAACGCTTCAATAACTGTATCGCAACGTTCTCCCTCCGTAGAGAGGGAGACGTTGTTCATTTATTAGTAATTGTAAAATCAGTGACTCAAAAAGTGAGTCATAAGACATGTGCTGTAATAGTCAGCAAAAACAAGGGTTATCAGATTATTCTGATAAACTGTAAAAAAACTATAATAACTAAAATAAACAACTAAAACCTAAGTACTTGTATTCTGACCACATCCTGTTGACAACACTTGAGACGTTCGGACTTATCAACTCACTTGTGATATTTGGTCTCTTTGACCTCACTTGTTTAGTATATTACACTTCTCATGTGTGATATCGTACTATGTGTCTTTGTCCCGAACTGACTTATTGCCATGTGTCCTTGCGTTATACATGTGTACTTGTTTGTAATGTGCTGTGTGTACGTCTTCCTTTTTGTATATGGTGGGATATAAATGCTTTTATTCCTATAGAAAGTTCGTTTACTTTCACTCTGGTGTGATTGTGTTGTTAAGCTTGTACTTGCTCATTGTACTTCTTTTAATGCCATGTGTGGCAACTAGTATGTATTCTCGTGATTTGAATGCCACCATGCACATCTGTTGATTGTTTTAATAATACTCAGCGTACTCAATCAAGTGTTCGTTGATTTGTTTATGCTTTCTTATGAATTGTATTATCCTTGGTTTGTGTGTTCTTATGGGTTGGTATATCCCTCAAGAATTGTTGTGCTTAAGTATATCGTACTCTGATTCTGATTCAATGTTCTGAGTGATTTCGATGTCACTTATTGATTTAGACGTCCAAGCTACCTTTCTTGATTGTTCTCAGTATTTAGCATACTCAATCGGGTCGTTGGTGCTTTGTTTATGTATAGTTACGGGTTGGATTGTCCCTATAAACTTTATTATGTGTGTCTTGAGCTATTTCCTAATTCAATGTCACTAATCTCGTATTGGGTCTGATCTAGTTCCAGAAACGTTTGTACCCTATGTTCTATAGTGCTTTGTGAGAGACTACAGGTCTCAGGCCAGATTTTACAGCAAGAAACCCTCTTTGATTTATGGAAGTCATCAGAGTTAACTCACTCTCGAGAGCTAAGTTATCAGAGTTAGCTCACTCCCTAGAGCTAATCAAGTTGCTTAAATTACTCCCAAGATTTGAGTTATTACTTAATCGACTTCCGATAGCAGATTAAGTTTCTCAACCGATTTTCGAGAGTGGATTAAGCCTGTCGACCGCAGCATTCTAAAAATAGCTGCGGTTCTATATGAGTCGCAACCTATGCAGGAAAGACATCATGTGATCAGCATGAGATTTAGTTGCAAGAAGTTGAAATAGAATAGCATCGAAGTGTTAAAGTGTTCTGCATAAGGTTTCTCATACTGACCATATGAGTTTTTACCGTGGCCAGCCCAAGCGGCTGAACACTAGCACAAACACCTTAGGTTATATAACCAAAGGTGAGGTCAGAAATAAATACATACATTTGCACTTTATTTAAAGTCTACTACATTGCACTCTAACACTTTGTGCCCTTTATCGTTTCTTGTGAGACTCCCTTGTTTCTCCCCACTGTTCGTGAAGGATATTTGTACCTTTTTTATACTATTATATGTGCACTATACGATTGGGTATGCATTGTGTTATAAGATGATTTCCTCTGTTTATGGTTGAAACCTGTCGACTCTGTTGTCTGGACTCTGTGAATCTTTTGATAATATTTTATAAACCTCTTTTACTGTTGGTTATCCTTGGTGGCACTTTTACCCCTTAGCCCCTCTTGTAGTATACGCCCTTATATTAATTACTACAAGATGTGACTTGAAATCTCTTCCGAGGTATTTTCCTTTGAAGACTCGTATTTGATCGAGTGTTTCTTGTGCCTAGGGCTCACGAGAGGCATTATTTCTTTAGTGTGCAATCCCGCATTTTATTCTAATGCTCGTAGGTCTCAATCTTTTGCTCGTTGATCCAAGCTTTGTTGATGCTAAATGTTCTTGCGGGTGAATTGCCCTGCACATTTATTTTTCACCCAGATATCTTGTGCCTTTGAGATTGTTGAACACTCTTAGTTTCTATTGCTTTTCTTATTCATACTAAGCCTTATTGTTCTTCTTACTAATACTAAGTCTTGAGTGATTAACAGTTGCTTTGCATTACTAATTTTTTAAATGTTATGCTCGGATAAATTCAATGATCTTTTGTGCTTATACATATATGCTTGAAAGATGCTTCTTGCTACCCTACTAGCATGAGTGTCTGAACCTCACTTCACTTGTTTACCTTCATATACTTTGACTAGGTTAATGTAATGATATTCTATATCGTTATACTAATGCTAGGGCTAGTATCATTTATTAGACAAAGGTCTCTCTTCACTTTTTTTTGGGATGTGTTATGACCTACTGAATGTTCTTGGTCGAAAATCACTAATGATACTTTTTCCTTAATTCTCACCCCAACATTGATAATTATATCACCTTGACAGTTTTTGGGTGTTTCTTCTCTACAAACTGTGAGACACTTCTTGAAACTTCCCAAAAACTGACCTTGTTATTATCGAATGGCAGTGGAGAACGTGCGTCAGTTTCTTACTTATTCCTTGCCTTCCTTTGTTCTCTTTTTCCTACCAGCTGAGTGTTGTTTCTCAGCTTCTTGCCTGCCTCCTGGCTGTGGTCTCGTCTCCGCTCTTATATTGTTTCTTCAAACTTGTTCCGTAATAGTGCTTAATAAAGTAAACGGTTCTAGGTGACCATTTTCTTTCACTCACTGAATGCTCCATACCATATTACCATATGTGAGTTCTGTTCTTATTTGACTTATCTAAGTAAGGAAATCGAAGAAAAAAATGTAGAGTATGGAGAGAAGCTGAAAAGTACGAGCCAAAGGATGCAATAGACCTCTTCTCAAGTACGGTTATATCAGCTAGGAAAGTCCCTAGTCTGAGAGAATCGGACTGAGTCTTTATTTGTGTTTTCTAATTCACTAGACTCAGGGTTCTATGGGAGTGTTTCGCTCGCACGCGGAGCCCTGGTATACCTTACCGGTTCTACCGCTAATATTTCTGATGACTCCAACATTAGGAATGTTTGAATCCTAATTCCAAAACTCAATATTTCATGATTCTGGGTTTTGGGATTCGGATTGGATTTTTGATAATCTAGTCCTTAGATGCTACACAGCTATACCTCAGTCACACATGTGTTGGCACATCTTATTCAAGGATTTCACCCCTGTAGCAGCATTCTTTCCTGACAGTATGTTGATAGCAATGTAAAGGTAATGGCGACACCTTTCTTGAGTTTTTGGCAAAAAGCTTTGTCCCCCGCTAATCCCACCCTCGCACTCAAGTACTTACCAAGATAATTACTGATACTCTGCTTGGTGTGGTACATATCTGCGAAATAGAACTGACCTTCTCTAATGTCGGATTGGTTTAAAGAACTGTCGACAAAAACTATCTGAGTTTTCAACGGCGTCCTCTGGCCCATAAGCTTCTGACGAGAATCTAATACAAATCTGAATATTTCCTTCGTCTCCAGATAGAAAAGCATAGCACCGAAGTACTTGATCTTCCCGTCGTTGCCCAGCCCTACCAATATCAATATCTGCCACCCCCAATTGTCGTTTCCCGTATGGCGGGCATTCATACTGACTATACGACCAAACTTTTGGTAATTTTTACGCATTGTATTAGTCATCCATAGAACGCGTCTTAAAACGTTAGTATCTTTGTCGCGCAGAGAGCGTACATACATATTAGGGTCCATGGATTGCGCCAACTTGAAGAAGTTGAGAAAGTCGCTACTGAGGCGAGGACTAGAGGTGGGGATTAGTGATGAGGATTATAGTTGTACATTTATATATCTCGGAGATGAGGATCAGAGGTTATGATCAGAGAGAGATGAAGATTATAGTTGTACATCTTTATATATCGGAGGTGAGGATTAGAGGTAATAATTTTTATTCTTTACGGGTTTAAACTTTTAAGACTTACGCATTCATAGCTTCTTCACATTCTGCCATCTTCACAAACTCTTCGATGGATCATTCCGAAATGTCCTCGCCAGGTGCAAAAGTGCTTGACCTCTACATAAGATGGCAAGACCTGTATCTTATACTGTCATAGAGTTTGCTGGGGTATGTTATTTTCGAGTGTATGTCTTATTGCATTCTGAATAGAAGTAGTACACAAATTCACATTTAGAGTTAAAAGTATTCTAAAGCTTTGTTTCACATACAGGGAGTGGATTTGAAGATATGTATTGGTGTGTTATAAAACGACAAAATACATTTGATAGAAACATCGTACTCGCCACGTACAGATACCGATGCATTACATAACAAACATGGCGAAGAAATACAAGTCCATCATCCAGCTACCGGACTTCGACATCGTCATCCTTCAGTTCGCCAGAGCTTGCTTCCAGTCTGGGGTAGTCGAAAAGAATACAGTTTCCGCATACTCCAAGAATAAGGCTCGGACACACGTCCTACGTTTTCCCTGAACTTCTCGTGGCCTTTGACACCCATCTTCGATAGTTCGGGATGCTCACAGGCTGCTCTTGGAAGACAATTGCCATCCCCTAAAACATTCTGGACACGGTACAGATTGCCATCGAGCAGTAAAGACACAGTACCTGTTCCAAACTCGTGTACGTACGCATGCTTCAATTTTTCATAGGGTACTTTAGCGAGTTTAGATTTTCTCCCTTACCCTTGTCACCCTTTTCGTTGTCCTCTATACTATTGCCTTCATCGCCTCTAAGATCAAGACCTCTCCGTAGCAGGCTATCATCCGTGTCATCGGACTTACTCTTCCGGTTGCCATCTTCTTTGCCTTTGTCTTTTTCGTCTCCACGATCATAATTTGTGCAATATAGATTCTTTGATTTAGCTGAACGACGCGGGGTCACCAACATCGGCAGCTCTACCACTTTTATTTGGTGTAGACGCTAGTATAGCCTGTCCTGCTTTGTTCTTACTAACTTTTGTTACAATTCCAAGTATACAAGTTTACACAGCTCGAATATAAACGATCATCCTGTTGCATGTGCTATATTGTATACACCATTCAACTACACCTACGCGATTGATAGCATATGTTGGTATGGCAGTATGTGATATATGTTCAAATGTTGGTATGGCAGTATATGATATATGTTGCTCATGTGACATATGTTGGTATAGCAGTACGTGATGTGTGTCCGTTATGAATAAATTATGAAAAAAATATGAAAAAAATATCATGTTCAATTTTTAACGGTTGAGTTGACAAAAATAATTTTGGGTATAGAGGAGTTGAGCGACAGGGGTGTTTATATTAGAAGGTGTGCGATAGTGGTGTATTATTCAGCGGTGTACGATAGTGTTGGGTTTAAGCGGCGGTGAACGAGAATGTTAGGTATAATTGGCAGTGTATGAGAATGTTAGGCATATCGGCAGTGTATGAGAATGTTGAGTTCAGTGGCTGAGGTCTTGATTGTTAAGCATAGCAGCGGTGTACAAGAATACTAGGAGTAGTGGCAGAGGTCTTAAGGGTCCTCGATCGATGCTGTGTACGAATATTCTTTTACTTGAACAACTAGCAATAACCATCTGAAATAGTACAGAACAGCTAACTTTTTATATTTGTATTTAATTTTCTGTTTATTTGTTTTTAAGAATATATAAGACGTGTGTGTGTATGTGCAAGGTTCTGATCTTATTTAGTATCCAAGGTAATATTGCGGATGTCAAGCAATCAGTATCTATATCATAGAAAAACTATATTTAGGTGTATGTATAGTAAGTTGACGATGACTCCCTTCCCCCTGGAAACTTAGGAGATATATCTCTCATAAGTTGGTCGAGGAATGATTCGTGCTTGTCGTGGCCACGTGATTTGGTGAGAAGATCGGCCAGATTGTCGTTAGTGGATATGTATGTGATAGTAAGTAGGCCTTATTGTACACAGTGACGGACATAATGGTACAGGATAAGTATGTGTTTTTGGCCCTTAGGCGTCCCGATGCCGAGAGCGATTTTTATGGCCGACTGATTGTCAGTCAGCCCAAAGGGCAGTAGGGCCAGGAAGTGGCATGCACATGGCCACGAGGATATTGTGCGGTCCCGACGAGACGATGTATTCTGCACGGCCGAGCTGAGTGCCGTAGTCCGTTATTTCTGGGGACTTCCAGAACACGGGAGTGCCGTGTTCCAGAAGTACTAAAAGAGCAAAATAAAATACACACAATAATCCGGATTAGCTGACTTAGGAACAAATATTCCGACATGAGTCTCAGCCATAAGTTGGAAACTTCACACCCCAGATTCTACGGGTATCATTTAGGTACCAGATTCTCAGAAAAGCCAACTGATTCCAAAACCCAGGATGATCAAATTCCGAGTTTTGGGTCCGGATGCAATATTCCTGATATTAGAGTCTTCAGAAATATAGCGGTAGAACCGGTAGATGATACCGGTATTAGAGAAATACTCAAGTAGAATTTGAGAATAGTGAAGAAACACAAACCACGAACAAAGACTGAATGCGAATCCATCAGCCTAGGGCTTTTGCCTAGCTGAGGTATTTGCGCTTGAGAAGAGGTTTATTGTACCCTTTGGTCGAATCGTATCAGTCACTCTCAAACTCTGCATAAGAGGAGGTGGGAAAGAGATTTGTCAAGTTCACAGTGGATCAATTTCAAAAAGCATATAAATCGCACTCGAATAAAAACTACACACAAAATTGAGATAACTCATCGCAAAAATGGCTTTTTTTTCTTCTTCGCTATGGCTAACTCGCTGTGGGAACCCATAGAACAGGTCTTAGGTAAAGTAATTGAATTGTGCCATATTACCCAAATGTAACGTTGTTTCTCGCTTCCTGTCCTTACTGGCAAAAGACTCAGTGTTAGTTGAGAAAGAAACTTGCGCTGAAACACCATTGGAAACCATACTAGTGGCTACAATAATGGGTCTGAAGTAACTATACTTCTAACAGAAAGAACAGTTCTTGACTTCGAAGTGTTAGTCATACCACATATGAGGAACGAGCAAATCTCACCACACAGTGAGCCACTACACCTATGAAGAAACGATAAAGAAATATAAGCTGATGATCGGAATAGACAGAGATAAACACATGTAAGAAAGTATACAGATGGTGTACCATATTCGAGAAATGAAATAAAATATACAAAAAGGGACGAATAGACAGAGACAGACACATGTACGAAAGTGCACAGATGGGTGTGTACTTTGTTCGAAAAATACAACAAATTATACAAAAAGGATTTTCACCGACTGTAATCGATATCAGCAGAGTTCCCAGGAGACGAATGTAATTGGGGGTGAACACATATGGTCCTATTAAGGCTTAGTGTTCACTCATGGTATGGCATGCTCAGACCAATGGTGGACAACACAACAGGCACGTGGTCAAAACATGGGTTCTAATCAGGTGTGAACATGGCTGTCCACACGTAATACGGACGAGCCAAGGCACGGAACATGAGAATGATATTCTTTCCAACGTCCTTACACTTCAATAATAGCGGGTATCCGCAATAGAATTAAAATATAGGCAGTATTTCATAAACTTTTATATACAAATACCTTTCCAAAACTAAACTTAGATATTTTTAAATACATATTTTTAAATACCTATTAAATGGACCACTATATTGCAGTATCATATAAACACATCAGTAACGAGGTAGCTCACTGAAACAGTTTGATTTGACGACTAATAACGTTGCTAAGTCTTTCCTACGTCGGCCAGCCAGAAAGGCCAATATTGAGCCTGGAAGGGCGGACCTTCTATTTAAGTGATCAGACCCTGACTAGAGCAATGAAGGGCCTCTACAGACAGAAGAAGCTTTCTTGATTACTTTACAAGGCACGGAATATGTGAATGATATTCTGTCCATTCCCCATTACACTTCAAAAATCATGAGTATCCGCAATAGAATTATAGATTATAAACGTACACTTTTAAGAAGTCCGTTTATTCATAAACTATTATTTATAGTACCATTTCAATTACCAAAATCAGATATGATCTATTTAAAGGCCCACTATATTTCAGTATCATACAAACATTTCAGTAGCGAGGTGGTTCACTGAAACAGGTTGACTTGGGCGACTATTAACGTTGTTAAGTCTTTCACCCGTCGGCCAACCAGAATAGCCGATATTCAGCTTGGAATGGCGGTCCCCTTAGCTAGATAAGTGACCAGACAGTAGACTAGAGTAATAAAGGGTCTCTAGAGACAGAAGGGACTTTCTAAACCCTAAAACTTTAAACCCTAAACCCTAAAACCCTAAACCCTAAACCCTTTAAACCCTAAACCCTAAAACCCTAAACCATAAACCCTAAAAACCCTTAAGCTTCATTCACTTTCGAATATAAGATTTTAGTAGCATTCTAGGTATAGAGGAGCGAAATCAAGAATACTTGATTTCGTTGTACAAACAAAGAAGACAAAACGAATTAGTATCCGAGAGATTCTTTATAGGCACTGTCTCAGACTTGAATCCCTCTAGGATACCGATATTTCACAATGTATACCTGTCTTATTATCCGACTATCAAACTGTATTTACTTCAAAATACTACCGATACAATTCGTCATAAGTCCTACTATACTGTCGCGGTCGTACCGATATTTACAGCACAAGCTTCGACACAACACATTGTATCTCGAACATATCCACCCAAAGTACTAGAAGCGAATGATCGCTCACACAGAGACTTGACACTCGTACTACGGAAATTTGGGAAACAAAGCCCAGACAACTGGTGTTCAGGAACACCGTTTGTACAGATAGAACATAGCCTGCGATCCTCACGCAGACACAGATTCCGATTTAATGCATGCTTCGGACAAAGACAAACCAATTCACTTATTATGACAAAAGAGTTGAAGCACACAGCACAGGTGTGACTTGGCAAGAACGATCGGAATAGCTAAAAATGACCATTGGGTCGTAGCTAAGGAACAGTGTTGCTCAATACCAAGATAAAGTGCGAGCAGCTTATAGTCGGAAGTTTAAAAGATAATACGATATTTTCCGTGGAGGAGACATAGCCATGATCCAATACGAAGGTGTACAAAATGAGCAAAATGACGGCATCCTACGGAGGTACGGAGGTCCATAAAAAAAAGCCAAGAAAGAGGGCGACGAGTTCTTTGTCTGCAACCTAGATGGCGCAGAAGCTCCAAAATATCCGAACTCAGTCAATGATGAATTGATAGAGCTATATAAGACTGTAAATGGGGCGGAGAAATTCACTCTTAATAATCAAATGAATAGACACAATTTACTTCCATACTGCAGCGGTGACAGAAATTATCACAAGGGTACCCACAGCATTGGGCAGTCGAAGAAAGAACGTGGGCACACGAGAGGGTCATAGCGGACGTCGATGTTCTTACACCTTATCGCCGAAGCATACGGCACAAACGCAAACAGACAGAACGAAGAACAGCGACAAGGTCATAGGCCAGGGACGCGCGAACAGTGAGCAGCACGAAGCACACGAGACAGGTATCTTTAACCAAAGTTCGCCGATACCAGGGGCCACTCCCACTTATCCCACTTTGTAGCATGCTCTGCCCAAAACTTGATTGTAGAGGCATAGTTGAGAAGTATTTCTTCAAGCCAAGTTGATGCCAGCCGAGAGCACAGGCCAAGATATACTGACGAACGTGGCTGAGAACTCCTGTAATAGCATACTAAATTAGATAATACGTAAGGACATTTAATGGAGGCAGAATTTTTATATTCTTAATGGACAAGTTTTTCCTTGTAAAAACCATCAATCTCCAGAGCACCTTACAGTCTCACTAGTAAAAAGTTGGGGGGCATCTGGGTACTGGAAAAGCCAAGCACAGAATTTCCGATAAATAATAACCCTGAAAGTGATCCAAATTTACCATGTAGTGTAAAATGAAGACTTATAAATGAGTGGGAACATATATATTGCCGACTAAGCTACAACGTGTTGAATTTTCCACCGAACTAAATAGCCTGCTCATATCCAAGCGATGCCTGCCGCTGGTGGTGGTATGTCTAAGAATCGTACACTTGAAATATTTGCCTGAACTATTAGAACTTATTTGAAACAAGTATAATTAATAACGAGGAGAAAAAGGTGAGAACAGGTCTTTGTGACTATAATGTCACCATTTGTTCTAGAGACTCAACTTGGTGCCATGCTTTTATACAGCAGGAGGTTCGTAGCTCAGGTTTTCTGATTCATTTGCGGACGTCTCGGCGATTGTTTTGGTCTGGTTCTTCTGGTGTGCATTGCTAATTATTGCGCTTGTGCAAAATTGCCTTCGGTAATGGAAAATCTGAGTTGTAAGAGTCCTCGAAGAACCCTGGTGGCGAAACATTTATGGAGGGTTTTAGTCCATCCCTTTTTGCCCTAGATGTGCTTTACAACTCATATCTGTTCTTGCCATATGATTTGTGTCATCGTAGAGTCGATTTCTAATTTCCCGTCCTTTGTATGAATATAAGCAGTGTGTGACCTTCTCCGATCTAAGAGCTCGAAACCATGAGTTATCTGGATATTAACAGTGAAAAAGATACTGGTATGTTCAGTAGTGTTGCGCAATTTATTAATACTATGGGAACTATTTCACATGTCAGCAAGACCGAGGATCTAGTATAGATGGCTGGGTAATGTCCTTTGCTCCGAGACTTCCTACACGTAGTCCGTGCTGTCATCCGCTTGTGTATCTAGTGGAGGTCTCAAGCGTTAATGGCTAAGTAAGAGCTCTGCTGTGCTGCCGTCGAATTGAATATACGTTTCAGTCTGACATTCAAATGGTACAAGCTTAGCCTACCCTTCTTCGCTGCTGTGTTCAGTTGATGGAAGACTTTATCTTCTAGACCAGGCATTTGGCAGTTTAACAATTTAGCATCTGCTGGTAGTCTCAACGATTGTATGTATAGCAGAGCTAGTAAATGAACAATTGAAACATGCTGCTTCCACCACATTTGTATACAATAAAAAAATAAAACAATAATTCAGCGAATCTAGTCTTAAATTTATACATATGTCCAAGAGTAGCTTGATGTATGCCGCTATCTCTTATTATTAAAAAGTACAACTCGTCCTCAAGTGTAGACTATACTCCAAGTGTCATGCTATCGTAAGGTTCGTTACTTGACTTACTTATCCCCCAGTCACTTTCATACCAAATGCAACTTCGACTAATATAGCTCCGGTACCCAGCACGAGAACGGCAACGCCCGTAGCTATACAAATGTAAGGTGCAATGTTCATAAAGAACTTCTCTCCGTTAGTGTGTGGCTCTTTGTGGGCTACCGCGATCCGGAAGCTCAGCGCCGGGAAGATGTAGATAGTAAAACTTGCACAAACTGCCGACGTGAGACCGATGACCACGTGTAGGTTGCTGTAGCATATGAAGACAAGTACCTGACAGGTGAATTTATGAATCTAGCGGTACCACCAGGGAGTTTCAGCTACGTATTTTAGTATATTATAAGGATGCATAGAGAACATAGCCCGACAATACACCTGACAACCGAAGTACACAGGTTCGTGTGTGTACGAAACTTTACGTTGACATCTATGCACAACTTCAAAGGAACTCGTACATGCATGATTCAAGCAGGTAGAACTAAAAGTGAGCATCCGAATCCCACGGTCGGAAATAGCTCCTCGAAAGGATCGTAATGCATTGAGACTAGAAAGCATCATTCACGACAAGTACAAAACTTAATTTCATCAAGGATTCTTCGCCAGAAAACCATCCCCACTCTAAAAGTACGTTATGTCAATAAATACGATTTAAAATAATCGAAAAATGTGTTCTATACATATTTGAATGGCTAACACCTGCACACTCAAACCATGGTTATCCTTAAATTGTATGACTTACTTATATAGCAGTGAATTGTAATAGATAGAAGACATGCCAACAAATAGGAATGACTTGAGTATAAGTATATATAACACGTATATAGCACATTATATGACTTAAACAAACAGCTTGGGCAAAAGATAACAGACCATACATCAGTCCACATCTCTAAGAAGATACCAGTGCGTGGCATGTTAAGCATGCAAACATGTGTACGCCTAAAAAGGGTACAAGAGACACTGTCACCATACTTGAAACATCAACAAGTAGGCTCACACATACACGCATATCTAACTAACAAGCAAAATTGCTGAACGTAGAGATATCCGTATATAATTTCATTGCGCACGGCCGTACGCCCATGCTGGTATGGCTATAAAAGAACGATATTCGCATGTAGACGAATGTGCAAATGTACAAGTGCAAAGATCTGAATGTTTACAGGTGTAAAACATCATATAGACAGGGTCAAAACCACGTACTCTGCATCTGTGCAAATGACCAGATCTACATGCGATTATGCACTTTTAATGTATAAACAACTTCGGCTCGGCACAAATGGCTGGTGCTTAGTGAACCTAATAATTAAACACCATTGAGAACACAATCACACACACACACACACACAAAGATAGGTACATAAGAATACATGCGTTGCCTCAATGAAGGTCGCATAGGACGATCCGCATAAAAAAACAAACACATATTTTGGGTTGTTTTGCTAAACTTAACGCAAAAGCAAGCAATCCAGATCAGAGTCGTCCGCAAACAATCTCAAGCAAGCAATAGCGAGCCTTACCTGGTCAAGGCAGCGATCATGACAGCAACGCCTACCAGCAAGGTCGTGCTCAGCGTGTAAACAACCTTCTCACCGCTGGTGGATGGATCAGACAGCTGCCTGCTCGGCATGAACGGTGCTTGTTCATAAAGAACACCGCGTGTCACGTGGAAGCGCAGTGGCAGTGCGAAGGACAGCTGCATGATTAGCATGACTCGGGCGACGATAACCAAGGGGGTTGACGGTAAGTTGCCCAGGATGTTGTCTTTTGTATTACTGTGGATTGGAGGGTGCAACAGGATAGGGTGATTGAGCATCTACAGCAACACATACAATCACAACCATGAGAGGTACATATCGCATATCCGGATTTAATGAAACCAGACTGTGCGTGATTCCGGCCGCATTGAATTGCTAGCTCGACTAAATGAGAGAGTGGTCATGTAAAGAAAAACGGTAGTGCTGAGTTTTCTATGTGAACCAATGCCGTTGTACATGGCAGAGAATTACCTGAAGTGATGTGTCATACCGAGATAAAACATTTGGCGGGACAAGTAAAGTGTGCGTTCGATCTCGCAATCAGATAAATGCGTGCGCATGATTGTATGTTTGCAAAATGGTTGTACTAGGTAGTCAGAATCTTATGCGTGGGTACACAATCTGTAAATCAAAGTGACTCGCATGTAGTTGTGGCCATTGTAGTTATCAGAGTACCAGTGGGGAAAAAAAGGCGTCGGACGAGTATCCTATTTCACAAGACTGAATTAGAAAAGCCGCTGGGACGTACACCTGAACACATCGAGATGCGATTTAGTCATAGCTTACACCCAGAATGCAAGCAGTCAATCCGCACGATATGTGAGCTTATCTGATACAAATTCTTGAAAGCTACCATGATATAATGCTCTTGGATATCGGTACATTGGCCACACAACACATAATCTGCAATTGAATCGACATCATGTGATGCTTCGCGAACGCAGATCGTACATTATGACACTCATCTCAAGCGTCAATCTTTTGCGTCGCAAACAAATATCCAAGCGAGCCACAAGGGCGAACAACCATCAACTTAGCTAATAAATTGGTGATTACAGGCTGAATAACATATGTTGTTGAAATCGTCTTCTCAAACTGTAGGACACTAAAACAGCGACACGCCGAGAAAAACCCAAAGCCAAAGCCAAAGCCAAAGCCAAAATCGAAATCAGAACAAGAATAGAACTATCCGAATCTAAACTAACACTACTGTCATGACACGACCATACACAATGTGAGATATTCACAGAATAATCTGCTTGCGACGACAAGGCAATACCTCCCCAACGATAGTGCACGAAACCACAAGGGGCACAACGATAGTGCACGAAACCACAAGGGACGCAACGATAGTGCACGAAACCACAAGGGGCACAAGCCCAAGATTGCGAGCTAGCACGTACGCTGCGAAGAGTATCACATTGCACAATAAGAACATAAGAACACAGATTAACGATCACAAGCAACGCACCTGCAATACGAGAAATAGCCGACAAAAGCCAGCAAGGCATAGTTGGTCAGGATTATCACGTTTGCAGACGTGATCATCCTGTTGACTCGCGGAGGTGTGGGCTCGTACAAGGAGTTCAATATCGGCACGAAACACCATGCCGAGTTCAGCGCAAACGCTATCAGAGGTAGCGAGTTGAAGGCACCCAGAGCGGTGTTTGGGAATAGATCGAACCGGGGTGGATCATCGACAAGCCGCGCATGTTCATACCCGCCACACTGTATTGTTGGCAAGAGAGGATATTTTCACGTTAAGTGAAAATTGTGTGCATGTTTAAGAGCGTTTATAGGGCTCATATCTAAGCACATGCGAACCTTCTTCTTAAAATGGTATCCGTCGGGTGAAGCTGACTGGGCCAAGCCGCAAGTTGCACGAGAAAAGAAGTATACGGCCTATGTCGGCAGAAAGACATGCTATGCAATAACTGTCAGCGCTCATCCAGGGTTCGGATATTGACTTTTACAAGAATAAAGAGATCAAGCCCTGCGAACATACATCTATACAACTTAATATCGATGCACTTGCCTGGGCGTAGCATAGCGCTGTTCTGATACCGAATAGAGAAATTATAAAATTGTCGACTAGAATATCAAGTACAAAAAGGGCGACGGACAGTAGTTACGTGGACATACCGTATCGAACGTTTTACCGTTCTGGAACCAGGGAGCGTTGACAAATACAACAAAGTTGATGTAAATGGCGGCAGTGGCTCCCAGATAAGAAGTAAACTTCAGTCGGTCTAGGTTACTGCACAGCGACAGGGGGTAAACTACACACACAGAGAGCATAGTGATCAGTATCCAGCGTGGCTGGTCCCATCCGAAGACCGCAGACAAATCTTCTAACTCGTCGGCGACAAGAATTAGGAAACTGTTCGTTTGTAAGTATATGCACAAACTAGTTAATTCGGATCAAATCTAAGCTCAATCCAATACGCTATAACTTTGCTATTCGATGACATATCTTCTTGAAGAAGCGACAATACAAACGAGCAATGTATGGCAATATACGCGCCTGCGCACGTCAATATTCATAAACGCAGAGACAATTCATGCGGGCCGAAGCACTTTCCGGCAACGTACATTCACACGCGCGTAAAATCATTATACATAAAAACAAAATCATACATACGTATTAACATCATACATACATACATACAAATATCATACATACATACATACAAACATCATACATATATACATACTAACATCATACATACATACATACAAACAAATATAAAAATCATCATACATACATACATACAAACAAATATAAAAATCATCATACATAAATACAAACATCATACATACATACATACTAACATCATACATACATACATACTAACATCATACATACATACAAACATCATACATACTAACATTATACATACATACAAACATCATACATACATACATACTAACATCATACATACATACAAACATTATACATACATACATACAAACAAACATCATACATATATACAAACATCATACATACATACATACATACATAAACATCATCATACATGAATACAAACATCATACATACACTATATATATATTAATATATATATACACATATATATCAATATATGAAAATATACAAACACAAACACAAACACCCACCCAAACACTCGCACGCACACGAACACAGACAAAGACATATATATATACATATACATACACAAACACACACACACATATATATATACATATATATATATTATTCATAAAAACACACACACACGCACACACATATGTATACATACATACAAATTTGTGTACGTATATAGGTATATAGGTATATATATATATAATATAGGTATATATATATATATATACAAACACACACACACACGTACACACATATAATTAATATAGTTATAGCTATAGATACAGATATAGCCA